TAAATTAATTATGAAGCATCATCTCTCTGTCTTTGACTATGCAGTTTTCTCCATGCAAACTATTGTTGCTATCTCCTATTGTCTGTCTGCCTGACCCTTGCTCTTTCTTCACATGACCCAAACATTTTCTGCTTTGTCTCCTAATTCTATCCCTGGGGTTGCAAGAGAATTTACCACAGTTTACTTTATGCACATTATCAGCTTAGCCAATAAACTTCGTTCATTTTTCATTTGTCATTCTTTATTGTTATTTTTTATTTTTTGTGACTTCCTCACCAACCTTGAAAACTGAATGGTTGTTTTTGTACTACTTTCTTAGCAGATTCTATGACACAGAGCACGCCTCATATATAGTATATCCTCAAATGTTTCTATTGGATGGAATAATGAATATATTAATGAATTATTGATGGACTATGAATAGGTAATGAATTGATGTATAGGCAGATGGATGAACTAGTAGATAGACAAACAGATGAATAAGTGTATTGATGAGCTTATGGATGGATGGGTAAATGTGTTTGAGGGTGATGAATGCAATTATGTATAAATAAATGTATTGGTGGATGGATGGATGGGTGGCACATTTTATGATGATATGTCAATAGTCTTAGCCATCAAGCATCAACTGGGTGCTTTCTGTGTGCCAGGCAATTAGATAGGTCCAAAAATAATTTTGAGAAATGAAACCAAACTTCTGCTTGGAAGATAAGAGTAGCCTAATTTAGCTCCCAATTAGTTACTTTGAAAGCCTGCTGACAATGAAGAATTTAGTGAAAGTCCAGTGTTCTTCTAATTCTACAGTCTACTCAAAATCTTTTCATGAGTCCTATGCACAGAGGGTGTGAAATGGAATGTTCCCTAAATGTTCTTATGTGTCTCTTCTTAGCTCAGCATATCCAGCCAAGAACCATCAAAGAGCAAACAAGTCTCTGCTCATAACTGGTGAACAGTGTTCAATTCATGAACAGAAACGTTGAAGTCCCTCCAGTGCAGAGACTTTGCATGTCTTTTCTGCCAGTGGCAAACCTGAATGCTTCTCTGCTTACAACCTTCCTTTCATGGTTTCCCAGTGGAAACCTTTCCCATGGTTTCATGGCTTCTGAACAAATTTCTAGTGCTTTAGCATACCAGAAAGGGCCCCATGATCCATTGTTAGAGTCCTTCCCAGGTTGACTTGATCAGCTCCCCAAAGCTGCTTCCTGCTTCTCCTGGAGCATCACTGTCTCAGCTGGTAACTTCTCTGACAGAAATGCTTCTGTCTACCTCTCCTGTTGTCCTCAATATCACTCAGAAGGGTTGCTCAGACATTCCATATTGAGCTAGGAGCTCCTCATCTGCTTTTTCAACTTTCACATTCTCCATCTCTCATTCTGCCATTGATGTGCCTTTGCCTATGAATTATGGGAAGGGTTGGCCAGAGGGTAGAAAGGCACTGTTCCTTTAATTCTGCACCAATAGGATTCACTATAAAGCCAGACACATAAGAGACTTATAATAAACAGCTGTTGAATCAGAAAAAAATATCTTTCTAGGTTTGGTGAGGTGGCTTCGTTGATAAGGAGTTTGTCTTACAAACACAAGCATCTAAGTTTGACCCATGTAAAAGTGCCAGACATTATGGCGAACTTGAGATCCCAGCACTGGGAAGACAGAGACAAGCGGCTTCCCAGGCTTGCTTGTCAGCCAGCCTAGTCTACTTGACAAGCTCCAAACCAGTGAGAGACCCTGTCTTAAAACACAAGGTGGGTGGCATTCTTGTGGAATGGCATTAAGGTTATTCTCTGGCCTCCACACACATGCACCCATCACACGTGTACGTACACAAAAAAAAATGTCTTTCTAGCAAACTATCATAGACACCACAAATGCCTCCAGTAGAGCAGTGATTGCTCTGCTTTTTTTGACAGTGTTTCTGTTGAGGTGTTTGATTGCAAATAATTGGAAGAATAAAAGGGAACAGAGGGAGTGGAAAGCACCCGCGACTCTTCCATGCATAGGCAGGCTCTTCTTAACCCTCTTTCCGAGTCCTTTAAAGTTTAATCCTGAGTGCTGGTTTTTTTTTTTGCATCATTAACTTGTTGCTGAGAATATGATGTCTAAAGATGATTATTATTTTAATTTATGACTGTGTGTATGTGTGTCTATGCTACCCGCATGTGGGGACCCTCAGAGGCCAGAAGAGAATATGTGATGCCCTGGAGCTGGAGTTGCAGGCGGTTGTGAGCTACCCGGTGTGGGTTCTAGGAACCAAACTTGAGTCTTCTGGAAGAGCACTGAGAGCTCTTAACGACTGAGTCATCCACCCAAGAGCACGACTTTCAGTGATGTCGATGGCCATTGGATGAATACACAGGGCGACTCTTCACCAGGCCCCTGCTTCTTCAACTTGTCCACGGAGCTCTGGGCTTGCCTATGTGGTCACTTCTGCACTATAGAAGGTCAGAGGTGGGCATGTGGCCCACTAGGCCAGTCTCATTTTTGGAACTTTGTAGTTTCTTTTTTCTCCCTAAATGCTAATTTTTATCTGCTTTAGATGAAGTGACTGTCGAGCCAGAGAATGCTTCCGTGCCTTCTCTTTCTGATGCAGTTTTCAAATGCTTTAGTCCATCATACTGTTTTCAGGGAGTGTCTGTGAGGGATCCACAGTCATGTTTTCTTAATTTTCCCCTGTTTTATTGTGTGCGTATGTGGGTGCACATATGTCATAGTTGTGTGGAGGTCAGAGGACAACTTTCAGGAGCTGGTTCTTTCCTTCCACAGCGGGAGTCCTACTCCAAGTTTGGTGACAAGTCTCTTTACTTGCTGAGACATACTGCTGGCCCTCAGACGCAAGTAACATCACACCAGTCTGAAGCTCCATGGAGATATGGAAGCCCTGGGACACCTTTTCATTCTAGTTCTGGTGGATGAACCATACTGTGTATTCCCACTGGAGGCCAACTTGATCAGATGCAACAGAATTTAGAGGGGCAGAGTAGAGAGGGAACCAATGTTATTAAGCAGACAGATGTCCCCTGCAATAAACATGCCCAGGTCAGAGTTGATCTTATGGCTATGCCACAGGTCCTTGGTGACTTTCTACTTCATCCTTACCTAGAACACACCTCCGGATCTTGTTAGTATTGTTTCTTTCGTCCTCTCTCTGCTGCTTTTCATCCCTTTTCTCCTTTGTTCTTTCTTCTTTGGCAACCACCATGGTCAAAGCCGCCCTGTCTTCCATTTTGATTGAAGGAACAACATAGTCCTGTAAACAGCACCCGGTATCTGGTCTCCTTGACTGGTCTCTACCCCACCTTACATAGCCCTGTAAACAGCACCCGGTACCTAGTCTCCTTGACTGGTCTCTACCTCACCTTACATAGCCCTGTAAATAGCACCCGGTATCTGGTCTCCTTGACTGGTCTCTACCTCACCTTACATAGCCCTGTAAACAGCACCCGGTATCTGGTCTCCTTGACTGGTCTCTACCCCACCTTACATAGTCCTGTAAGGAGCACCCGGTACCTAGTCTCCTTGACTGGTCTCTATGCCACCTTCCAGTGACATTACTAAAGTGCTATGGCACTCCCTTGATTAAAAACTTTCAATAGCTTCTCATTTTAAGGTAAAGACAAAATTGAACATGGCCAACAAAGCTTCATGCTGTCTGCTTCATCCACCATCTCAATGCCACATTTCTCTTCCCATCTCTTTCAACTTCAGTCACCTGTATCTGATGTCTTGTATGTACCACAAACTTGTACATTCCTTGTTCCATTAGCCTATTCCCAGTTTCTTTTACATAATCAATGCTGACATACCCCATAGATCAAAACATACTTCCTTGGTTTTATTTTCTCTCTTTTTTTTTGCTTTCCAATAATATACCTTTCTTTTTCTCTATTTAAAAAAAAGTGTGTGTGTGTGCATGCATGTGCTTGTGTGTGCATGTATGTAGAGGCCAAAGAAGGACATTGGGTATCTTCCTCAGTTACTCACCATGTTATTTTTGAGACAGAATCTCTTACTGACCCTGGAGATCATAACTGAGCCAGATTACCTGGGGCCTTCCCATCTCCACTTCTGTAGCACTAGGGTCACAGGCATATACACCTATGCACAGTCTTTTCATGGGATGCAGGGGATCGGAACTCAGGCCCTAATGTTTACCTAACACTTTGCCAATGGAACCATTTCCTCAGCCCCATATCCTATTTCTTTTAGCATGTCAGAAATTTGTAGTTAATCAGTTAATATCTGTCATTTCGCTTAGACTATAAACCTCATGAGAACAGGGATCACATCTGTTTCCTTTTAATCTTCACTCAACTGGCTAAACCCTGACAGGTAGCAAATAAATATTAGCCATATGAGTAATAAACAGATGGGCTATCATATCTTTGATGCTAAATCTGTGTAGTTTTTGAGGAAACAGTTTCTTTCTGGGGAACCTGTAGAAAGAGAATAGAATATACAGGGCTAAAGAGAGTGCAGTGGCTAAAAGTCTTTGATGTTCCTGCTGAGGAGCTGAATTCAGCTCCCAGGATACACAATCTCACTACTACTTGCAACCCCTGCTCTTGTGATCCAACACCCTTTTTCCTTCTAACCTCTGTGGTCACCTACCTATGTGTGGGCATCCATGTGTGCACATACATGCAGAAAGAGAGAGAGAAAGAGAGGGGGGGGAGAATGGTATGTGTTCAGCTTCTCATTTAAGAAGACCATGTGAACTCAGGTCAATGATCTGGTAGTCAAAAGTATTAAAATGTTGATTATTAATGCCTAAATACAAGACTGGAATTTTGAAAATGAGTGCAGGCTGGTGGATTGGAGTGTGTGTAGTTAGCAGTGCCTCCATAGGTACCACTAGGCCCACAGCTGGCGGCCCTGTATGATGTAAGCAACGGTTATGCATGCTTATGCTGGAATAGTGTGCTGATGGTAGCATGCACTCCTTTGCTGGATGCCTCTTTAAGTCTTCCCTAAAATGTGTCTTTCTCTCTTCCTCCATCTAGATTTATGGTCAATGTGACATGGGACGGCAAAGACTTGTCCTTCACTGAAGAAGGCTATCAGGTGCACCCCAGGCTTGTGGTGATTGTGCTGAACAAGGACCGAGAGTGGGAAAAGGTGAGTGTGTGCAGAATGCGGGGGTAGAGCACGTTCCGTGCAGTGGCTCGGAGCTCCCTTCCAAAGCCCAGGGCCAGCCTTTCTGATGACCAGGCAGATTCCTATATAGGAATGTATAGGAAAGCACTTACAGTTGTGTGCTGTTCTCAGGTCCCATAGTTCTGGACAGATTTGGGACAATTAAAGATGGTTAAGCTCCAGTTACAGAAAAGTGGTAGCAAATGTTCACTGTAGCAAAGATCACATTGATTTTCTTGAATCTTCTAAGCATGTACCATGTTCACCATTTGCCATTTTGTGAAACAGTCTGTATTTTAATTTATGTAGTCTTTTGCTCCAAGTAAACTAGCTTTCAAAAATTCGGCATATCCCTTCTTCCTGCAAATCATACTGAGGAGAGGGAGCATAGACGTCTTAAAAAGGAACATGTCATATTAGTTCTGGAAAGTCAGCATGTAAAGAAAAAAAATCACCCCATATACTGGCCCAGCCTGTGTCACAGAAGAGAGACTTCATAGAATCTACTAAATTCTCAGAGACACAATGATACCTGCCATAGTGGCACACCTTCTTCTCCATACCCCAACTACCAAGGCAATCCCCACACTACTGCGTAAAGAGTGCAATGACAGGTCAAGTCCCAGGACAATCGTGCGAGAAGAGGCAGAGAAATAGTAAGACCAGGGGAGAGAGAGGAGCCCTGTGAAGTGCTGACTTCTGAACATAAATCAGGGTTGTCGGACGTGTGAACTCCTAGCAACTGTGATTGCCTGCATGAGCTCCACCTAAGATCAAGTCAGCTAAAAACCCAGCATGGACGAGGGAGAGGCCCCCGAGGCCCTACTCCTAGCTGAGGAGCACTGAGAGCTGCATGGGATGTGGTACTAGTATCTTGCCCATGCCGCAGTGGACCCCAGCATACCCATGCATAAATAGGCAGCATTAATTGATCTTAGGGAGTTACAAAAAATAAATTTTAAAAAGATCAAAGTTTAAAATGGTATTGTTGACCAGCCTTTGACAAGATATGCCTCATTTCTAAATGTAATTGGCATCTTGAAGTTTATCTTTGCTTTGCACATCAAATGGACGAGGGAGAAACTCTAGAGAGGAGGACGGTACAGGGCGGTGAGAAGGAGGAAATGCTCTATACACAGGAGCCATTGCTGGCCCAGTGACAGTCTCCTAAAGGGCAACAAGGCAGCTCAGGAAAAAATCACCTGCTCCATTTACCAGCTACAAATTTGTGTTCCTCCAAAAACGTGTCCGAAATCCACCAAGGAAGACTGTGTTTTGGAATCTAAAATGAGTCTTATATTTGAAACAATTGAAATGCTATAGAATAAACCTTCTAATAACAGCATATTCAAATAAAATTAGGCAATAAATTCAGGAAATGCTTGTTTGGAAATTATGACAAACTTCTACTTAAATTTAGGTCAAAGGAGAAATAAAAAAGATAGGGAAATATTTTGAACAGAATGGAAATAAAAAAAACAACATTCCAAAATTGGAAGGTTAAAGGTGAATGTGTATTAGGAGGGAAATTTATGACTGCAGTTCATTATAATTAAAGGGAATTTGTGGAGCTGGGGCGATGGGTCTGGAGGTAAGAGCACTTGCTGCTCTCCCAAGGACTGGAATTTAGTTCCCAGCACTCATGGCTCAGTTTTCTAACTGTCCATAGCTCCAGCTCCCAGCTATCGAGTACCTTTCTATTGGCTTCCTTGGATATTCACTCACATATCCACACAGACACAGATACATGTACAATAAATAAGAATAAAATAGATCTTTTAAAAAAAGAAAATTTGTAAAGTCCATAATTTATCCTGGAAAAAAAAGAGAGAGTTAGTGACATATCTGTATAATCCCATCACTGGGAGGTTGTGCCAGAAGGCTGCAGATCACGACCCTATCAGATAGCACGGGAAGACCCCAACCTTATCTCTCTGTTTCTGTTTCTTGTCTTACCGCACATAGGAAGCTAAAGAAAGAACCCAAATAATGCAAAAGGAAAAATAAGAGATACAAGATTGAAAGTCAACAATTTAGAACCCAGCCTTCAGGTAAACATTAATAAAATCCTTCGCAATAGGGATTATGCAAAAAGGGAAATAAATAGTTAATACCAAAACCCAAAGGTGATGCCTCTCAGACCTTACCATTTCTAAGTCGTAAAGAGGAACATCACATAAAATTTATCCCAACGTGTTTGACAGTATTGTTAAACTGGGAGAATACTTCAGAGAAACATGGTTTTCCCAAACTGACATGGGAAGAAGTCAGACACCTGAATAGTTTATATTGCTAGGAAGTAAATGTGTAAAAAAAAAAACAACTTCCTTTTTTGGTGGGAAAAAGTAATTTATTTGCATTGCTCCCATTTTCTACTGTCCAGATGGCTTCACTGTGAATTCAATCAAATGTTTAAAAAATAAGTAACAGCGATGTACACAGATTTTCACCATCTTACTAATCACAGGCAATAATGTTGCCTAAAAAGATAATGCATCATAGAGAAGAGGGGTTTATTTTGGGAATGCAATATTGGCTTCACATTCAAAAACTAAATTGATGTAATTTACCATATTAACTGAATAAAGGGGAAAATTATATAGTTATTTCAACAGATGCAGAAAACACAGTTGACAAAATTCACTATCCATCTTGATAAGAAGGCCAATTAATTCCATACGCTGACAAAGGCTATCTGTGAGAATCCTATAGATAGTATCTTTGAAAATATAATATTATTTTTATTTTTTAAAAATTTTATGCATGAATAGTATGTATTTTGATCATATTCAACCCAGCATCTCTAGATTATTCTAGGTCCCCCTACATTTCACATCCTGTTTTTAAGTTTATTTTTAATTTTAATCTTTATTGCCTACAAAACCTAATTAGTGTTGCTCCTATGCACACCTACGGGACCTCACCTCTGAAGAAAACTGAGGCTTTATCCCCGGGCAGCCATCAGTTGTTGCTGTCTCTTCAGCTAGGAATGGGGACTCACAAGCCCCTCCCCCATCCATGATGGACTGTTGACTGGTTTGACCTTGTTCCGGTCTTGTGCAGGCAGCCACAGCTGCTGTGAGATCACAAGGGCAGTGGCCTCGTCACGTCCACGAGACACTCTACAGCTAATATCTTATCAAATGACGAAACAGTGAAAACAGATCTAAAAATGCACAGGGAAGCGATACTAGCTGACAATGAGAAGAGCGTTGTAAGACTTTCTAATGAATGGCCTCATGTCAGCTCAGGGGCCAGAAGGACCATTTACTTACACTATGTACAAAAACCACTTGAAACAATTTGTAGGATTATGTCAAAACTAAAATCAGAACGTTTCCAGGAGGTGATGAAGGAGGATTTGGAAGGCTCAAGGGGACCTCAGGTTTCTTTTTTTTTTTCCTTTTATTTTTGAGATTATAATATAATTACACCATTTGTCCCTTCGCCTTACTTCATCCAAACCCTCCCATATATACCTCCTAGCTCTGTTTCAAATTCATAGCCTCTTTTTCATTAATTGTTGTTACATACACATATAGTAATATTTATACCTGAATATAACTGACTCAGTCTGACAACAGATTTCTTAACATCCAGCAAGCATAAAACTGTAATCTTTCAAAATATAAAAAGCAATTTGCTTATATAAAGGCATTTTTAGAAATGAAAAAGACAAAATACAATTTGTAAGAGATAATACATGTATGTTATGAAAGATACACATTTAGAATATGTAAATAACTTACAAATCAATAATAAAATGATCAGCAGTATTAATAAAAATAGAAATTGTCTTAGATGGTTCATAAAAGATATTATTTAAATGTTGATACATTCAGGGAAATGCTTATTATCACTGTTCTTGAGAGGAATATAAATCTGTGTGTGTGTGTGTTGTGCTGAAGACAGAACCAGTTAGTTTTCCATGTTAGGCAAGTGCTCTGCCCCTGATTATACCCCCATTATAGGGTCAGCAAATTAAAATGATTCCTAGTGTTCAAGTTTATACCCACTTAGTGGGTATTAATGTCAATATTGACAGTATTATTTTCTAGTGAGGCATAGTCTCATACACTGCAGGTCAGAATCTAAATTGACACCAACAAGGGAAATTGTTTTGTTTGGGCTTTATAAAGAGAAACATACATAATACGCACAGACCTTACCACCCAGGAATTCCATCCCTAGTTACAATACTAAAGAGATATATTTATACATCTAAACATACATGTATATGATAATGCTAATGAAATTTTATTGATACAGAAAACTTCAGAAATAACATAAGGTATGTCTATAAGGAAATGAATAAATAAGATATTGCATATTCACAGAATTGACTGCTTTTTATTAAGAAGAAGGAAGGAATTCCTCTCATGTATATTAATGGGGGATAACTAAAAAGCATTATGTTGGACCAAAGGAGACAGAAACAAAAGATTATAATAAATTATTCATTTTATATGAAGTTCAAAAGAAGGTAAAACTTTCTAATGAGGTCAGACAGCAGCACACCAGTTACTGCCTTAATGAAGAACTGTTGCCTCTTTCTTAAGAAACCCAGAACATTTTCTAGAGTGAAGGCAAGAGTTTCCACTCTTGACCATTTCTCAGAATGTGTCCAGCTACGGCAACAAGTTCTGGTCACTTATTGCCTTTCTTTGTACCTAAGTTAAAAAGTTAAGTTCTGTAGGTTGGGATACTCAGCACAATTAACCACCAGATTTTACTGAGGACTCATATGTAATGACCCGTTCAGAGATTAACTTTACCTAGAGTTGAGCAAATCATTGATTTGCTCTGTTTTCCTCTTGATGATTATGAAACATGACTGAAAACACTGTGTATTCACTTAACAGATGAGCACATGGCCTGCTCTGTGCCTGGCACTGCTTTTGATCCCTGGAGTTTATCACTGAGTAAGAGGATAATTTCTGTACTCAAGAGAGTTGATTGAAGAGTGTAGATGTTGATGAGAT